CGTCTAGGTGCAGATTTTTTTGATCAATGCTAGTTGGAGTCCTACGTGCCTCAATTATCTGTATGTTAAGTTCTTTTCCCTTGCTTGGGGAGTTTTCTGCCATTACTTCTGTGAACAGATATTTTTATGTCATTTGCACTTCTCCTGTTTCTTCATTGATTTTGATAAGTCTTATGTCATTCTTCTTTGCATCATCTAGCAGCTGTTGGATTGATTTCTCATAGAACCTTGCTATTTTTAAGAAATTTTTCTTTTCTTGGTCACTATTTGCAATCCTGTCTTCTATATCTGAAATTCTGTCCTCACATTGGTTCATTCTGCTGTGTAAACTTTCAGTGAAGTTTTTAATCTCCTCAATATCTGTTTGCATCTGTTTTATGGATTCCATGTGTTTCCTATTTTGGGATTCCATCATGTTCCTCAGCTCTATTTTTTTTTATCTGTGTCTGCTCTTGATTTATTAATCTTATCTTGCACTATGGAAACAATCTCTGTTCATATCTGAGAAATTATTTCTGATTTCATTTTTTTCCAGATCCTCTTCCATCGCCAGTCCATGGAGTCCTGGTTGTTGAGTATCAGATTGTTCCTTCTTGTTGCCCTTTGGGGTTGCCTTAGGTGATCTGGAAGTCTAGTTTTGAGACCTGTTTACATGTATTTTTATTTCAACAGATGTACCCTGCTGTGCCATTGTCAAGGCTACTTTTTGCTTGCCCAGTGGTCTTCAATTCTCAGCAAGCCACCAAATGGCCTTTTCTCTGCTGCTCACCACTGCACCAATTCCTGGGTTCAGAATCCTGGAGTTCTGGATTCCTCTGCTGCCCTGTTGTCTGGGTGGGTTCTGGCTGTGTCCTATGCACACTTGGGATGGTATCTGGGTGTGCCTCTGGCCAGGCCCTACCCCCACATGTCACTGTTGTGTGGTATGGCATTTGGCTGGGTGCCATGGACCCCAGTCACTGGTGTCTCAGCAGGCTTCAGGCTGGTGTCTGCATAGACTTACTAATTGTATCTGGTTGGGCCTCTGGTTGTTGCTTGTGTACCTGTGCAGCTCTTTTTCAGGTGGACCTTTGGGGCTGTGGGTCCAAGCTGCTGGGACCAGGGTGGGGCTCTGGCTGGGACCTGCCCACAAGTGCTCTGCTCTGGTCCACACAGGCTTCTCAATGGGATCTGTGAGCACTTTTGGATCTTATATTTATTGATTTGTATATGTTGAACCATCCCTGCGTTCTCCGGATGAATCCTACTTGGTCACAATATATTATCTTCCTGACTTGTTGCATTTTGTTTGCCAATATCTCATTGAGGATTTTTGGATCTATGTTTATTAGGGAGATTGGCCTGTAGTTCTCTTTTTTGGTTAGGTCCTTCTCTAGTTTCAGTGTATCAGGGTAATGCTTGCTTCCAGGAATGACTTTGGGAGTATTGCCTCCCTGAATGAGTCCTGAGAGCCACAAACACTGTGATTTATTGTTGGAAAGCCTTATGATTTAGCTGTCTTGTCACAAGGGTCTTTCTTTATTCTGACTTATTTTACCAATGCATCTGTTAGTGTAGCTTGTAAGTCTATTTACTTTTGTTGCGTACCATCCAATTTGAATTATCTTTTCCACAGGAACCTCTGGTTTGCAAAGAGGGTGCATTGTAACTCTATTCATGTTGTGGGTTTAATAAAGTTTCCTTAAAATTCATTATTGAAGTCCTAATCCTCTGTATCTCAGATTATGATTATATGTGGAGATAGGGTCTTCATAGGTGATTAAGTTAAAATGAAGTCATTAGGGTGAGTTCTAATCCATAATGATTGGTGCTCTTATAATAAGATTGAATACAGACAGACGGACAATGCAAAGACACAAGGGAGGTGGACATCTACAAGAAAAGAAGAGAGTCCTCAGAAGCAATCAACCATGCTGATACTTTGATCTCTTCTATCCTCTGGAACTGTGAAAAAATAAATTCCCATTGTTTGATCCACCCAGTGTTTGTACTTTGTTAAGGTAGCATTAGCAAACAGATACAGTGTGTATGGAACAGTTACTGTTCTTTACTTTTTCATGTTTTGTATTTGTGTATGTGGCATCCATTCATCACAGGGCTGATAATACTAACTAGATATTTCTTATTTTCTGTATTCTTGATGCTCTGTTTTTTTGGGGTGGGGGTGGCTTACAGATTTGGAGAAAAATCACCCCTCCCAGTGACAGCCCTTTCCTAGAACTAGCAAAAGACTTGGCTGCAGGCATATTTTTCACATACAAACCAACCAATCTCATCTATAGTCCCAATCACTTCCTTATCTAAGTTTCTCAAGATAATATTTCCTCTGCCCTAAATCATCCCAGGGCCAAGTCCCAGGTAACTAGAAACCACTATGATAGCCTAAAGTCCACTAGTATTATTCAAACTAGCCATCCCTAAACTGTGTAGTCTGCTCTGCCTTGTTTTTCCTCTGGAAATCCCAATAAAGTATCTGGCTCGTGCCTTTCCTTCCTTTCTTCCTTCTGACCTGTTCTGATGCTTCCCTATCTCCCTGTGTGACATGTAGGGACGCATTAGAATCTGTGAGTATAATAAACTTTTCCCTTTCAAGTCCAATTCTTTCCTGTAGTTACTATGATTTTACCATGTCTTATCCAACATTTACATTCTTAGAAAAAAAATCCCTTCCATTTCTCATAGCTATAGCTCAAAGCTCAGAGAGCCAGCTGATCAGAACTGCACTATCAACTGCACTTATAAGTCCATTTGTCTCTTTTTCAACCTTTCTTCTGGTCTCTTCACCCTCTCTTTGTGTCTTTGCCCTCATTCTCCTCTCCTCAGTATTCACCTTTTTGGTCAAGTTATCTTATGGACGTCATTGAATTTATACCACCAGTCTCTCCTTTCATTTTTCTTTCCTTCATAACTCTCTTGAAATGCATCATCAACTGGACCCTACCAGGAACATATCTGTGGTCACACAAAGATAGGTTGCTACAAGAGTGTTTGCATTTCCATATGAATTTCAGGATTTATTTCCTAGTTGTGTAAAGAACATCATTGATATTTTGATGGTGATTGCATTGAATCTATAGATTACTTTTGATAATATAGCCCTTTTGAAAATATTAATTATGTGCCGACAGGGCTGCAGGGAAAGTGGAACATTGCTGTACTGCTGATAGGAGTGTAGACTGGTGAAACCACTGTGGAAATCAGTACGGAGATACCTCAGAGAACTAGGACTGGAAGTCCTATTTGACCCAGCTATTCCCTTGCTGGGTATTATCCCCAAAGAATTAAAAGAATTATCCCACAGTGATATATGTGCACCCATGTTCATAGCAGCACAGTTTGTAATAGCTAAAACTTGGAAACAGCCCAAATACCCATCAACTAGAGACTGGATAAAGAAAATGTGTTTTTAAAAGAAAATAAAATGGAGTACTACTCAGTCATAAAACATGAGAAATTAGAGACATTTATAGCTAAATGGATGCACATTGAGGCAATACTCGAGTGAAATAAATAGGACACGTGTAAATACCAAATGGTTTCTCTAGTGTGATAAAATGAAAGTGCAAATAAGGACTAAAGGTATAATAGATAATGTGAAATAGGAAGAAAAGGGGCAAATGGGAAGGGGAAGTGGGAGGGGTAGGGGAAAGGAAAGAAGAGAATGGAATAAATATCAGAAAATGAAAAAATGGAAACAAAGTCTTTGTAAATAGGGAGGAATGGAGGGGTTGAAGGGAGGGCAGGGGCAGGGGAAAAACAACCAAGACAGATCATGTAAAGATGCAAATTTTCAATGATGAATGCCATTATATTGTATACTGAAAATGTACCAATAATATCAATTAAAAAAAAGAAAATATTAATTCTGCCAACCTATGAACATGGGAGGACCTTCCATCTTCCAGTGTCTTGTTAAATTTCTTTCTTCAATGTTCTGAAATTTTCATTGCAGAGGCTTTTCACCTCTTTTGTTAGATTAATCCCTAGGGATTTTTATTTGAGGCTATTGTGAATAGAATTATTTTCCTGAATTCTTTCTCAGATAGTTCTTAGTGATTATAATAAAGCTATTGACTTTTCAATGTTGATTTTATATCCTGATCCTTTGCTGAATTTATTTTTCAACTCTACAAGTCTTACGGTAGAGTCTTTAGGATCTTCTGAGTATAGGACCATACAAATTGTCACACTGCCCACCTTAAATGTGTTTTTTATAAATTTTTATAAATTTTTATTTATACCTCAGTAAAACTGGGAAAAAGATTTTGGACTTACTTAGTTTAAACACTTATAGGGAGCCATTTTACTAGTTTTATAAATTTTAAACTCTCTGTTTTGTTGACACAAAAGAATAAAAACAAAAGTCTAGTCTATCATCACCTCATTAGACACAATTACCAATTTGCTAATCTCCCTTTGCACATGTCAGGGAAAAGGTTAAAAGTGATTCAGCAAAAACCGTAAGTGCTCGCTGAAATGACCGTGGCTTCTGCCTTTCTGCAGAGAAACGACTATTTTCCCTGGGAAGGAAATGTTATGTACAGATAGCCTTGAGCACGCTAAGAGTGTCCTTGATTTTAGCCAGATCCAAGACACTCAGCTTTAAGACATCCAGGCCTGTTGGCACCAAGCCACTTTTGTCTAAAAACAGTACTTAAGAAACTAACAAACTGGGTATAGTGTTTGCGTTTTCTCTCTCGCCCGCTGAAGGCTCCATCTCATACAAGATCCTTCTCCATCATCTTTGGTACTGTCCCTTGCCTTGTCGTATGATAATGTATCATTGGACTATGCTCAGATCTGCTGTACTTTTATAATAAATTTACTTTCATCTATATAAAATCATGATGGGGCTATTCTCTGTTGGTGTGGATCCGAACCTCAGCTTTCTATGGCATCTACATATATGTGGCTCTTTGCTGTTACAATACAATAAACTGTAAAATGCAAATTGATAAAATTATCCCTTGATTAATCAATGGCTTATAATGGCTCAAAGCTCAGGCAAAGTAGCCATAGAAAAAAACTGTCACAGCCAGGAGGGTGATGGCATTGATGTTCACTATCGTTTTCCACAAGGGCTTCTCTGATGTGTCTGTGAGCTTCTTGTTAAGGGCTTCTTCCTCTTCTTTGGTCAACTTGGGCCCTGTCTTCTGCAAACCGCAGAATAACTCGTAAGTCTTCCTGATACACCCACGAGATTTCTCGGGATGATCTGAAAGAAATAAAAATAAGTTATCACAAAAGATGGGAAATAGAAGTCCTTGCCAATGTAGTACAAGTGACTCTAAAAAGTGACGAGAAATATTTACGAGTGTCAGAGAAATTCTTTACAAAACATAGACAAATTTGATGATATAAATATCACATGGTTTCTGTTATGTGAGAAATGTAAAATATAAATAAATGAATGAAATAAAGGAAATGACAGGAAACAAGACAGGACTCTTAAAGATGGGGAAGAGGATCAGGGGATAGGGGAAGGGGTATAAAGGGATTGAAAATGATCAAGATATGTTGTATACATGTACCAATTCCCCAAAATAAACATCACTCTTCTGTATTGCAAACATACACTAATAAAATAAAGGATTTGTTTTCATGTAGAGTCCAATAAAGTAAGTGAAAACAAGTGACAAAAATGAAAGAAAATTTGTATGCTATATTACAGAGGTTTAAAGTCCTTAATATGTAATGGATTTCAAAAAAAAAGGAAAGAAAAGACTATCAACAGTCTCACTTAAACATACTAGAGAGATGATAAAAAACTTATAGAAAATAGACAAATGGTTCTTATGCTTCCTCAAAAAAGAAATTTAAATTAAAACTACACTGAGATATCATTATTATCAATTAGTGGCAAAAATTTCAGAAGTTTTCCAGTGTACTATATTAAAGAATTTGCTTGGAAATGGGCACTGTCATACATTGTTACTAGGACAGCATGATTTAATTTTATAGAAGGAAGTTTAGATTCTATAGCAAAACTGCATAGGCATTCACCCGTTAACTTCACAATAAATCTTTTTGAAATCTATTCCATTGATATACTGGCAAAATACTCCTCCCCCCAAATCCAAATAATGTACAAGGAAGTTTATTGCAGTGTTGGAAAATTTAAAACATACTTATGTAGCCTTAGTTACTTACATTAGAAAAGAAGAGAGCCTGGGTATTAATGAAGTAATATAGAACTTAACTTGAAAAAACCTCCAACAAAATAGACTCAAATAATGCAAATGGAAGTGTATAAAAATGTGAACAAAAAGTAATGAAATAGAAAAGAATCATAATTGAAATAATAGAAAGCCAAAAATTTGTTCTTCATGAAAAATAAACTAGACAAACCTTTAGCAAGATTTATCAAGACAAAAGGGAAACCACAAGAATTTATAACAAAAACAAACTATAGGAGTAGGAGAGATAAAAAGATAATATATAGATACAATGAATAGGTTAATGCCAATATATTTAAAGGTGTAATAAATGAACATAACCCTAAAATACATAGCTCCTAAAAACTAATAAATGAAGAAATTGAAACTCTAAATAATAGAAATTTGTAGTTATATAGCCAATATATAAATCACCCCTTTCCCCTCACACACACATTACACTAATGACATTATTGGCACAATACCAAAACACAGTGGAGATATTATTCCAGTCTTATTGAGATAATTCTGATTATATTATTGAGATATTTCTGATTCATTTTCTAAGAACATTATGATCATTTTATTTTATGAAACAATAAAACAAAATTTCATAACAAAATAGTGAGAGAAAAACGGTAGTTAATACCCTGTGTATCATTATCTTCAAAGTAGATGATGGAAGTGTGATTAAAACTTTTTTTCTCTTGGGAAGGAGGTAGAAATATCCTAGGGCTCTTGGTGTATTTGGAGAAAAGTAAAGAAATTTGGCTGCCTGGAATGAAGGGTGAATTGGAGAGAATAGAGACAAATAATTTGAAGAGAAAGTGACTAGGTGCTTAATCATATAAATCAAGGCCAAAAAGTTCATATGTAACTAGGCAAGATGAGTTTGTAATTGATTGTGATCTCAGTAGCTGGCACACATTTTCATGTACGTATGATAGTGGACAGACAGACAAGACAGGCCAATGAATGGGTGGATTTCTTGTATAGTAAGTTATCTTGGTTATTGGGAAAGGAAGATTTAAAAATTTCAGTTTGCCATAAACTTAACAGCTCTTTTTTCCCCAGAAGCTGAAGTTAGTGGCATTTAAAACATTTTAATAAATCAAGGTATAAAAACAAAAATATAAGTTAGATATTACCTTCTTCAACAGCATCTTCGGTTTCTTCTGGCCTTTTCTCATCTGCATCTAAATCAATTCGTTCCTCTTCACTGTTCCGAAGAGCCCAGCACAGGCGATACAGCTGATCAGAGACCACACACAAGCACATTAGTAAGGGACAAATGTTTATAACTATCGAAAGTTGACTTTGCTTGTTGTGTAGTTTAAAAAATCAAAGTGCACAAGAGAATATAGTTCATAAATAAAAGTCTCTTACCACAGTCACTCATCAATATATACAAGCCATTTTAAATTATTTGTTTTAATTTCTTCTGGAAGTATTCAAAACTCTCACAATCCCAAACTCTTACCTCTGGATTTATGATTTTAGAAATGTCAAATTCTAAGCAAACCTACATTATATCCTGGCTTCACTCATTGTCTGCATTACCCAGTTATAAGTAGTCACATCATTATTACTTCCAGTTTGTTTAATGATTATAATGTTTTGCATAATTCTAATTGCATAATTATACATATTTACAGGGTACAGAATTATAATTCTGTACATCTATACAATGTATAATAATCAAGTCAGGATAATTAGCATTTCCAACTCCATAAGCATATACCATTTCTTTGTGTTGGAAGCCTTCAAACTCCTCTCCACTACTTCTGATGGGTATCACACCTGAAAGAATCAGTGAAAAATCCCCTGGCCATGACCTTGACTCTGAGGCACATAGCCTAAGAAGATTTGGAGAGAAGATTTAATTGGCATTGGCTGTTATGTATCTGAATGTCCCCCAAAGCCCTATGCATTCAAAGGCAGAGCTTTTGAAAGGTGATTGGATCATGCGCACATTATACTCATTAGTGGATCAGTCCGCTGATGAGTTTATAGCTACATGTGCTATTAGGAGGTGGGGACTGGTTGGAAGAGGTGGGTCCAGTGGATGTGACCTGGAGGTTATGCCTCCCTTCCTGGCTCCTCCCTTGACTTTCTCTGCTTCCCTACTGCCATGAGGTGAGCACCTTTGCCCTCAACCATGCCCTTCTATTGCCGTCCTGCCTTGATGTTAGCCAATTAAGGTCTGAGACCTCTACAAACTGTGAGCCAAAATAAACCTTTCTCTTAGTAAATTGTGGGTATTGGATATTTTGTCCCCAACATGAGGAAAATGACTAGGACATAGACCATAATCATCCATTCTCATTAATCCTCTGAATATCTTGGCTGGGAGAAATTTTTCTTTCCATTTCTCTTTTCTCTTTTCCCTTTCTACTATTATTATTTGTTGTTATTACTTTTGCAGTGTTGGAGATTGAGTCCAAGTCCTCATGCACATTGAAAAACTGCAAATTGAAATTCCATTTGATCCAGCTAAATCTCTTCTTGGTATCTTCTCAAAGAGTTAAGGACATCATATTACAGTGGTACATGCATACCTATGCTTATAGCAACATAACTTATAATAGCTAAATCTTGGAAATGGTCTAAATGTCCATCAACAGATGAATGGATGAAGAAAATGTGGTATTTATACACAATGGAGTACTACTCTGCTATAAAGAAGAATACATTTGAGTTATTTATTTGAAAATGGATGCACCGTGAAACCATAATATTAAATGAAATAAATCAGACACATAGATTTAAATATCACATGATTTCTTTTATATAAGAAATCCAAAATATAAATCATTTAAAGGGCAAAATAAATAATAGATAATAGGAAATAGAGAAATAGATGTTTTACAATCATGAATGGAACCCAGAGATAGAGAGAGAGTGCGGGTGGGGAGGGAAAGGGAAAGTAAAAAGAATTAAGATGTATTATGTACATGCACCAATTCTCCACTACAAATGCAATCATCATTTACTGCAAATATGCACTAATAAAAATTAAAAATTAATAAACTGAGAAAGAAATCTTGAAAGCAATATACCATTTACAATAACCACAAAAAAATTACCTAGAAATAAGCCTAATGATGTGAATGACCTCTCAATAAAACTTATAAAACATCAGAGAAAGCAATCTAAAGAGACATTGGTAGATGGAAATACCTCTCATGTTTATAGTGGGAGAATTAATGTTAAAATGGTCATATTGCTCAAAGTAATTGACAGAGTCAATGAACTCATCAATATATCAATGACATTCTTCACAGAACTAGAAAAACATCCTAAAATTTATATGAATGCACAATGACCCCAAACAGCCAAAGCAATATTGAGCAAAAAAAGCAAAGCTGGAGGCATCACAATGTCTTATTTCAAGACATAATACAGGGCCATAGTAACAAAAGAGAATGGCATTGGATAAGAAAAGACATGTATATCAATGTAATGGAAACTAGGAATAAATCCATGCATCTATAGTCAGTTGATTCGTGCCAAATATGCCAAAAACATACATTAGAGAAAGGATAGCATCTTTGAGAAATGATGCTGGGAAAACTGGATATCCACATGCAGAAGATTGAAACTTGACCCCTATCTGTTACCCTGCACAGAAATTGACTTAAAATGGGCCAAACACCTTAATGTAAGACCTGAAACTCTGAAACTCATATAAGAAACACTTCAAGATACTGGCACAGGTAATAATTTCCTGGATAGAATACAAAAGGACAGGAAATAAAAGCATAAATTGACAAATCAGATTATATACAATTAAAAAAATTCTCTACAGCAAAAGAGACAATTAACAAAATGAAGAGACAACATACAGAACGGGAAAAAACCTTTGCCAGCTTTTTATCTGACAAAGATTAATCATAACCTGAATATTTAAAGAACTTAAAAATTTAACAAAAACCTCACATATCTTGATTAAAAATGAGCAAATGAGCAAATCATCTGGCCAACAAATACATGAAAAAATGGTTAAGGTCATTAGCTATCAGGGAAATGGAAATCAAAACTACAATGAGATACCATATCACCCCATTCAGAAACATTAAAAATGACAAAATCTGGTAAGGATGTAGGGAAAAAGGAACACTTACATACTGTTGGTGGGAATGTAAATTAGTATAACCACTACAGAGAGCAATATGGAGGCTTTTCAACAAACAAACAACAACTAAAAATAGAAATATCATAGGATCCAGCTAGCCCACTCCTGGGTACATATCCAAATGAAATAAAGTAAACATAATTTATAAGCATAAGTTAAGAAATCGTCTTCCCAGTTCTCTAGAAAAAATACTTTCTAAAACTTGATAATAAATTGTGGTTATTTCTATTGGCAAAAGCACTTAAACTTTATATAGAAAGCATGATAAATTTCGTAGTTTTCATTTTTCAACATCTGATATTTAATGCAAATATTTAATTGTGAATTCTGGTGTCATGTCTTTTGGAAAGTAATTTGAACCATCACTATGCTTCAGTTTCCCATCCATACATCATTTACTGGAAATCACTTAAAGAAATGTGCAAATGAGCACTTCTTCAAAAATTATGATAAATACAAAAATACATAAAAGCTATACTTGTTAGTAATAAACTCAAATAATATTTTTATATACACAGTATTTATATTTAAAAAGTTAACATTTGTTGGGCCTTTATAGTGTCTCCCATTGCCATAGATACTCTTGTTGAGGAAATACATATAAATATATTTCCCACTTTTACAAGTATTTTCACAAAGCCCCCTAAAAATGGGATTAGTGATTCATAAAGTAGAAGACTTTAAAAATTGATAAATACTGCCCCATTGCCCTCTCATAAACTGTACAATTCTCACATGCACCAAAATGCTGTTCTGTGGGCAAATCCAAACTAACATTACACATTATTCATATGAAGCATTTTTTGTCAATTTGAAAGATAAAAATGTACCTCACAATTCTATTCAATTCTTCCCTTTCCTGAAACCTGCTACCAGGTGCCTTAAACAATCTCTGCATTAGTATTCAGACGGGATATGAAATTCTATTCATCCCCAAACAGGCCCAGGGCATGTGATAGCTCTGTTGTAAAGTCCTTCTTGGTCTCTTGGGCAACTGTATTTTCCCTGGTATCCCATAACAGTGGTATAAATTTACCTCCCAAGTGCTCTGTTAAATTTTAAAAGAAGGATGCCCATTTCCTAATCCTATACTCTTAATTATCTGGTGCTTTGAACATAGAAGGTGCATATTGTTTAATGAATAGAGAATAATTTCTCAGGGTTATTCTAATTTTAATGATGTGATGATTCTTTTGGCCTGAAACTTGTACACTAGCTGCAACTTTAGATGGCAAAGAACTCTTATTTTAAAATGAGCGTATATCAATTACACATCACTTACATTTACATCAGGAATGGGTTTTGTTAGAAAGGAAATTCCCAGGACAACTATTGCAGACACACAAAAGAGAATGATGGCAAAGTACAGATAGTGCACTCCACAAATAATTTGAGGACAGTTTGTGGGAGCCAGACAAGTTCCTGTTCCATAGACCAACTCTGGAATCATGCGAATAAGGCCCATTATAAGTCCAATCATCAGACCCCAGAATGCTCCCTGAAAAAGAAACAAGAGAAAACTCGAGTGCTTAGAAAAGATACAAAAATCATTCACGTACTCATAATTATCATCTTATCTGCTTTCTCAACAAACAGCTAATCTTGAACAAAGGTTAGCCAAACAGTGAAAATTGCAAATATATGGGTTAGTAGTGAGTTGTAGGGCTCCATAGTCCTGAAAAACCACTGCATTGTTGATTCTCCACTTACAGGACTCTTCTGTCTTTAATGACTCAAGCTAAAGTTTCCCTGGTTTGTGTTTTACAGATATATTAAAAACTTGGGATTTATTTTGTAGAATAATTAGAAACATGATTTTTGCTAAACAATTTGAAGAACCGGTATTAAGCAGTTTTGAGAGTTCTATTAAGTGCTTGACAACTGAAAGCACTTATTTTCTCTGAGAAATTTATAGTGGTTGGAAACATGTGCCACTTGTTCCCCTGTTCAAGATGTTATGTTTTAGGAGAATGATATTGCATAGAGATTAAGAATGTAATCTTTGGGTGGAGAATTATTCAATTTGAATCATAACACTGCACTTACTAAGATGAAGTAACGTGTGAAAAGCACATAAATATTAACTACTCTGCACCTGTTCCTCATCTGACAGTCATAATAATAAGGTTAATATCCAGGAACAATTGAGGGATTATATGCACTTGGGCAACAATGATCAATCAACTTTTTATATCACAATAGCAAGGAACATATTTTGAATCTTTACTAGTTGTTTAGATTTTCTCCTAATACCTCATTTAACCCTCACAGAAATCCCATTAGGTAGGTACTATCATTTTACAGACAGTGAAGTGATTTGCTTTAGATCACAATATTATTAGATGGGAGAGCCATGATTAGACCCTGGCCATCTATCTCCCAAACTTGTGTTTTTCAGCACATACCATGTAATATTCTGTAAGGAGTATAAAGATTGTACTATGAATATAGAGTATAAATATTAAGTATCTGCATACTTTAGTAAGTATCAAGAATTGTGGCTGATCACAACTGAAATTGAGATGGGCCTTGAGTTGTATAAATAGGGTAGAAAGAATGAATTTTGTTATCATAGTGAAATAAATATTTTTTGTTCTCACTCTATCACGGAAACAGTTTCCCAGGTTTCACTTACTTGTTCATTAACTCGTTTACAGAAAATGGCAAGCAGGAAGACAGCTGCAATTGGAGGTCCAAGGTAGCTGGCAATTGCTTCTGTGTAATGGATCAGTTGTCCACCTTGAGACACCTCTACTAATGGGACCCATAGAATGCTGAGGACAATTAACACAATAACAAATAGCCTGGTAAGAAAACAAAATGATTTAAATATTAAACAAAAGTAAGAGAAGTCTCTCCACTGTGTCTTAGTTCTTGAATTTATTCTTGTACCATTCATTGGCTTTCAAAACAAAATCAAGCTCCTTGACCTGACATTTACCCATGCTATGCCAAATGATTATCTGATGGTACAATGACAGTAAAGTACTTTATCTATAATTAGTCACAATATTTCACCTATGAGGTTAAATGCACACTCATTAAAAGAGTTCATATATTAGCTATTGATTAATAATTCTCTAACACAGTGTACACATAGCAAAAATAAATACTCCATGAGTTCTATTAATCAGTAATTATTTATATGATAAAGAAATTAGACATCTCTTTTTGTCTTTCTCCAGCTTTACTGGAACTAAATCAGTTTGCATAGGCAAGATTTAAAACAAGCCTCTATTTATTCCAGAATGCTGGGTGAATGACAAAGAATACTAATTTTTGTATTTTACTATTTGAACAGTGCAGGAGATAGAAAGAATTGGTTAAAATATATTTACTAGTGGTGAAAACTTGTTAAATAATCCTAGAGCCCAGGGGGCATGACTTTCACACTTTTCTAAACTGCAAGATCTTCCTTCTGTGCTTGTGTGAATGAATGAACAAATATAATTTACTAGGCTATATAAAATATCCATAAGTGGTAAGAACCCATTAGAGATTCCTGGGGTCCAGTGCTTAGGTTTGAAAAGATGGGGACTGACAGGAGGTTCTGGGATGGTAACTTCCATTTATTGATGTGATCAGTGGTTACATGTGTGCTCATCTTGTGATGTTATCACTGAACTGTACAATTATGTTTTAAAGGCCTTTTATATGTGTATTATACTTCAAATTTTAAATCACTTTACAAAATGCTATGACAATCTAGGATCTACTTGAAAAGTATGAAAAGGAAAAGGGAGTATTTTAAAATCCATTTTTTTTTTTGGTACAGGGGATCAAACTTAGGACCTTGCACTTTCGAGGAAGGCAGTGGCACCACTGAACTAAATCCCTAGCCCTAAAATCCATTCTTTCTGCTTATTTCATTCCATCTCACTCCCTTCAAGTTCCTCAGGGTCCCCTGTGTTGATATAACTCTCTAAGCAATCTCTTCACTTAGTTCCTTTCCTGAGTCTGTCCTTTGCATGGGAGAGGACATGGCCCAATCCTTAATGAACACATTTGATAAACTAATCTGTATTAGTATGTGGATGATGATTTTTTATGTCCTTTATGTAATATACATAGAAATGTCTAGAGACAATACATTAACCTGTCAGAGTAGGAGGAATTGTATAATTTGTGAAGATGTCATTGGAGGGGATTGTGTGAGGAAAGGTCTAAATAAGAAACAATCAGAGGCATTTGAAGATCTGAAAAATAAACCATTTCATTTGAAAGTATGGCCTTACTTTTTGTATCTGGAAAGAGAGAACTTTATGGTTACTTTCAATATGTGCCAAATATTTGGGAGGTCTGGTTTGCCTTTAGGCCTACCATTTGCCACTGGAATTCTAGGTAGAAACTCAGATCTCCTCACCGTCCAGCTATCAGGAGCTCTTTCTCTGATGCCTGCTTCCGCACCTTGGTATAGAGGTCTATGCTGAAGAGGGTGCTGGCGCTGTTGAAGATGGAGGTCATGGAGCTCAGGAGAGAGGCCACCATGACTGACAGCATCAGGCCTCGCAGTCCTGGGGCCAGGAGAGGGTGAACACACTGGTTAGTGGCTAAATGCTGTGATGGATGAGAGCTGGGCTAAATCAGAAAGTTGTTCATAGATAAAAGTGTCATCTGGAACATTAGATAACTGATATGCCTATCAACACACTCTGAAGCATTTCTCCGTGATCTGAGAATAGTACAGAATTTAAATCTCAAATATAAATTTAGAGGACATCTGATGGAACCTAGTTTCAGAAGAGAGGAAACAGTGTCATATCTTTCTTTTTCTTTTTAAATTTTTTTCTTTTTTCTTTTTTGGTACTGGGGATCAAACTCAGGACCTTGTGATTGCGAGGCAGGTTGCAGAACCACTGAGCTAAATCCTTGGTCCATATCTTTCTTTTTAGATGCTCTCTTGTTTGAGGATTGTGTTTCCTTCACCTAGAAAATGTTCATGTGTGTCAGGGAAGAGAAAGGGCCACAGAAGTATTAGCTGATCTTTCCACCTGCTTAACTCCAAGCTGTACCTGCTTAGCTCTGTACAGCACCTTTCTCTGTTTCAGTTTGACAGCAATGATCATCTTCTGTCATTCTAATAACTTACTTATTTCATATGTGTGGTTTATTTTCTGTCTCATGATACTGAAGTGTGAATTTCAAGGAGCAGGAGTATTTTTTTTGCCTACTTCACTTATGTTTTATAAATACCCTAGCAGTGGCTGGGATATAGTATAAATAGCTGTAAATTAAATCAATTGAAATCTATTATTTGAAATAGACTTGGTCTAGAGAAAACAGGATAGTTAACTTCTAGTCCTCTGAATGTGTAAGTTTGTGGCTATACAATACTTTTACTCACAAACAGGCCATTTGAGTGTTCTTGATTGACTTAGAAGACAGTCTTGAACCTGAAGGAGTAAGAATACTTCTGACAGAAACTACATTTGTTTCACTCTGAAATCTCCAGGCCCATTATATGGCTGGTAGCCTGTGGAAGGTACTCAAGAAATGTATATGAATAGAATTAAGTTAATGAAAGTAAGAATTACTAATGATTATAACATAACCTTCTTCATGGCCCATCTATATATAGACAAAGCATCTGAGGTTATACAAGTATGGATGTTCACTTACCAGCAGGCATCAGGTCCAGCACCATTGTTGGGTAGGCATAGTTAGTGCAGCCAATATCGACACCACAGTGTTTTACACACTCCGAAGGTACAACACAGGCCACCATATCTGAGGAGACATGTGAAGGAGAGTTCGATGTGAAGGGCTCAACCAGGTACAACCCATAACAATTGGAAAAAGAGATAAAATGTAAGATCATGGGTAGGTGGAAAGACATCTGCTTGAAAATTGGGGATTAAACTTTGAATTTGACATAACAGTTTTATCCCTTTTTGCCCAGAACGTAACCTAAATTTCTCATTAAAATAGGTACCCATTCATTGATCCATGGAGCAGAACTCTTCCTTGGGATACAACCCAGCTAGAGCTTTAAAGCAAACAGAGAAAGCTGATCCCATCCTCCCAAAATATGGCAAAAGCATAAATTCTGAAGCATATACCTTCAGAGATAAAATAGCAGCAGCAACAGCATCATCATCATCATCATCACCATCATCATCATCATTATCATCATCATCAACAACAACAACAACAATAATGGCAACAACAGAAAGTTAAGTCCTATGGGCAGGCACAGTTAGCCCACTATTTTTCACCTAAGTGAACAAAGAGGTGTTGCTTGTGGTGATCAATTGGTGTGATTGTCTCATAAGAAACAATGCCACATCCCTGGGGCAGTTGCAGAATATCTTGGTAATTTTTCTTTTTCTTTTTTTCTTAGACAATATTAGGACAAGAGACAATGAAAATTGATAATCACCCAGAATAATAACATCTTAACATGTTAGCTTCTTTTTAATATTTTTTCCAATTGTTTTCAATGGAGTAATGTCTTTTTTTACACAACTATGATAATCATTGAGATATTATTTTGTAGTCTGCCATTGACATTTAACATAATAATCTCAGCATTCTTCAAGTTCTGAGATAGTTTTCAGTCTCTTATGTGCATTTTCCCATAAAGATAACATACACAATAATTTCTTTGGCTATTCCCTACTTGTTGGATATTTATGCATTCTTTACTCTTATAGACAACACTGCAAAGCAACAATATGGGTTGATGACAGTGATTTTGAAATTCATGTTAACAAGATTTTAGTGAAATAAGCTGACATCCAGTTGAGAAAACATAGAATGGATTCAGTGTTACTTGATGGATTGCTGCAATAAAAATAAATTTGATTAGACAAGAAAGACTCATAATAATAATAGTTTCACTTTTCATACCAAAAAAAAGTACACTTTAAGGAAGCTTTTCAACACTAATAGTTACTCTCAGATGACTCAGAAATTAGTGTGCTCCCCAAAAATCTGATTCTAAAGCAGTAAAAATTGATTCAGTTCTCCAGCTGTCTCATTAAACCCTAGAAGTCAATGTATCTCAAACACTTTCTCAGTCAAAATGTCACCACACTCAACCATTACAGCTCACTCAACTCACATTTGACAAATTGTACTGCGTTCTCTAGTGCTTTTCTACCATATTCTCTAGACTTCATAAAATTAAAGTCACTCATTGAATGAGTCTCAAAGGCCTACCATGAGAAGGGCAGACAGTATGAAAGGGATAAAGGAACAGTGTTAAATATGCCAAATTTTCCACTGTTTGATCCTCTAAACAGGCTGTTCCCTCAACCTAGAATTCTGCTTTTATTTCCATCAAAAGTGGGTTTTCTAATTTATCAAGGTTTTACTGTATCTTTAAAAACACTTTTCAGAATTCAGGGATAAAAAAGAGAAGATATGGATGTATAGCTTGCCTGTATACAGAATACGGCTGATCATTCCTGGCATCACCATTAAGAACAGGGGCAGCAGCTTTAAATAACCACACATGATGCAGGCCGCCTTTACATGAGACATGTCCTTGCCAGATAAGCAACGCTGTACAATGACCTGGTGGGATAATATGACATATTAGTGAAACGACCAGAGCATAGTATCAGGATTAATGTTATAATAAGAAATAATGTCTTGGTTAGGGGGAAACAATGTGCTTTGGAGTAATATCAGGATTTGAATTACTATTTCTTTTGCATAGTATTTGACCTCTATGAGTCTCAGGTTTCTCATCTTCAGAGCATTTATCTCTTGCAGGGCATTATGAATATTTGGTAATGTATGTAGGATTTTTAGTATACAGAAGTCAACACATATAGTTACAATTAAAATATGTTTACAGCTCCAAGGCTGCAATGCAGCAATGACAATGTTCCTCCAGGGACAATCCTGTTCCAATTGCCTCACTGGATAATCAGACCAGTTGCTTTGAAAATACCACAGTCAGGATGACATCAGAACAGATATATCACTGAGATATATCACTTCAAAATGTTCTGAGAATTTCATCTATAATTTTATAACTCCTACTTAAATTATGAAATCTCTTTTTTTTCTTTCCTTAAATTCTTTTCTTGGTACATTTTAGGTATACAATACATTTACATTTATCATTGGGTACTTGTACCTGTACATGATGTATCTTGGTTCTTATTTTCTCCCCATTCCCTGTCCTCCCTTCACCCATGAAATCTCTTAAATAATAATTTTCTTGGCAGAGCAGCAAGCTACACTGCAGGGATAGCTGGAATGAGTTTCTCAACGTGATGTCTTTCCTTTGCCCCTACTTATAGGGTTTCTGCTGTTGCTAAGACTACAGGCATTTGTCACTGTGTCCAGCCTTTAGCTTATATGATGGATGAAATTGGCATCTTTGCTTAAACAGTTTATAGCCAGAAAGCCAGATTTCCTGAAAGACTGAGCCCCAACCCACCAGAGTGGCCAGGACTCTCAAACAAAATCCTCATAGCTTCTGCACAGGAAAAGGAACAATCAAAAGAGTTACCAAGGATCTATAGAATGATTACAACTTTTGCCAGTTACATTTATGACAGAAGATCAATATCCAGAATATATAAAGAACTCAAACTCTGTATCAAAGGCATATAACTCAATAAATAAATGGGTAAATGAACAGAATACACACTTCTCAAAAGGTTAAATAGGAACTGCAATACAATCAAGAGCAAATGACATCCAAGATCAAAAGCTGAGAAAATCTACTTGAGAGCTAGTTTGGAACATTCAATATTAATGAGAAACTAACAATGGGAAATTTATTCTAAAGGTCAGGAGTACCTGGCAGTCAAATAGAAAAATAATCCAAATTTGTATCTACTTTTCTCATATAAATTATAAATGATATTATTTATCTAGTACTTTTTGAACCAATATATCTTGAATGTTATTGGTAATGATATTTTTTACCACTATTCCTTTGTGAAAAATTTCCTCTGTATCCTAGCATAGATTGTCCATTTCATAGTAGTATTTAGATGTTTTTTTGTAGCAAATGTTAATGATTCCTATTATTAAAGAAGTGCCCTAAAAAGAATTTTCTTGCAAAGTAGAATTTCTAGTACAATGCCATAAATTTTTGATATTTTTATTCTCAAGAATTGTCAGAAAATAGGGAGGTATTCCTTTGCTTTTTTAGACAGAGGGATAGAAGGAGACATTTGGAAGGACAACACAGATCACAGATGAAGGAGGGAGTCCAGTCACTAGATAAGCAAAGCTATGTATCAGATCTAAAGGTGGATGTAAGGGCAATTATGTGAGGCAGGTCAAGGAGTCAGAAATGAAATAATAGATGATAAATATAGTTCCATAATGGTGAAATGATGCACTCTTTGGTAGGTATATTGAGAAAACCAGTTTATTATCCACAGAAAAATAAAACTGTGTCCAGTGATTTAAGATGTAATTTAAAGTGATTTTAAAAATGTGAAATTATTAGCTTGAAGTTGATGGAAACTGTTTAGGCAGAAGAAATATTCAAATGACACAAAATAGTCTAGATGCTATAAAAAGGAATATACAGAAAACAAAAAAGGTCATAGAAGATATATATACATATATGTATATATGTATATGTACATACACACACACACACACACAAAGGCAAAAATTGTAAGAGAAAGTTCAGGAAGTCTACAGAAAGTAGAGCAAAGCGATAATGAGTTGGGAAATGGGGAGAAAAGATAAAAAATAAGAGAACCAGGGGCCAGGGATTTAGCTTAGTGGTGCCGCCTGCCTCGCAAGCGCAAGGTCCCGCATTCCATCCCTGGTTCCAGAAAAAAAAAAAGAGAACCAGTTGCAGAAAACCAATACCCCAAAATACAAGGTTCCCACAGGACAAAAAACAAAAAACAACTCCCCCCCCCAAAAAAACCCTGGAAGCAATCAAAGAAAGAATCCCCTCAAATTACTCAAAACATCAATTTCCAAATTATACAGGCTCATAGTTGCCATTATAATGAACAAAAACAGATCCACACAATACTACATTGTGATGAAATTTCAAAATCCCAAGGACAAAGAAAATATAAGCTGCCAGGGAGAAAAAGGAGTCATATCTCTCAGATCAACGATAATTTTGGAGTTTCTCAAGCTTAGTAGTAATACAGAAGACAATGAGTCTATGACTTTGGGAAAATAAATTCTTTTTTTTAAAAATTCTTTTATTGGTACATTTTAGATATACAATACATTTACATTTATCACTAGGTGCTTGTACCTGTACATGATGTATCTTGGTTCTTATTTTTTCCTCATTACCTGTGCACCCTTCACCCCCTCCACCCTTGCCTATTTACATACTTCGTTTCCATTTTTATTTTCTTTTGTCATAATTTTTCCTTTCCATTCTTTCCTTTCCCCATCTCCTCTCACCACCCCTAACCCTTTGGACCTTTTCCTATTTCAAAGTATCAATTATTAGTTATTAATCATTTTAATCCTTATTTACACTCTCAGTTTCTCACACTAGAGAAACTATTTGGTATTTACACATGTGTGTCCTATTTATTTTACTTGAGAGTATGGCCTCAATATGCATCCATTTAGCTATAAATGACTCTAGTTTCTCGTTCTTTATGGCTGAGTAGTACTCCATTTTATGAAAAAAACCACACCTTCTTTATCCAGTTTCCAGTTGATGGGCTCTTGGGCTGTTTCCAAGCTTTAGCTATTACAAACTGTGCCGCTATGAACATGGGTGCACATATATCACTGTGGTATGATTCTTTCAATTCTTTTGGGAAGATACCCAGCAGGGGAATAGCTGGGTCAAATGGGACCTTCAGCCCTAGTTCTTTGAGGTATCTCCATACTGATTTCCATAGTGGTTACACCAGTCTGCACTCCCACCAACAATGGAGAAGGGTTCCTTTCTCTCCACACCCCCGCCAGCATTTGTTATTGGTTGATTTCTTGTTAGCAGCCACTCTTTCTGGGGTGAGGTGGAATCTCAGTGTTGTTTTCATCTGCATCTCTTGAATGACCAGTGATGTTGAACATTTTTTCATATGTTTATTTGCTGCTTTTACTTCTTTGTCTGAGAAATGTCTGTTCATTTCAGATGCCCATTTTTGAATTGCATCTTTGAATTTGGGGTGTCTGATTTTTTTCAGTTCTTTGTATATTCTAGATAGTAGTCCTTTGTCTGAGTTACAGCTGCTAAAAATTTTTTCCCACATTGTAGGTTGTCTCTTAGCTCTGTTGGTGGTTTCTTTTGGAGTGCAGAAGCTTTTTAATAAGCTGAGATCCCAGTTGTTGATTCTTTCTGCTAATTCCTGTGCTACTGAGGTTTTGTTCATAAAGTCTTTTCCTATGCCAATATCTTCAAGAGTTCTACCTAACTTATCTTCCAGCAAGTTTAGTGTTTCTGTTTTAATATTTAGATTTTAATCTACTTCCATCTTAGTTTAGTGCATGGTGATAGATATGGGGAAAATAAATTCTGAGAAGAGTAATAATGGCCAAAATAACAATTAAGGAAAGGTAAGAATAAGGACATTTTCAAACATGGAGATTCACAATAAATTTATCTCCTGGCTCTATCAGAAAGCTATGGAAGATTTAATTGTTTTTAACAAAGAAATAAAATGACATGAGACACTAGATAAAAGGAGATATAACTCCGGAATGAGGCAAAAAGAATGCCAAAGTCAGAGGTCTTGGATGAAGAGTGAGAAGCCGAAGGCCCTATAAGTAAATGACGAATGGCAGTTGGTAGAATACGTGGTGTGTTTGTAAGAATTGAGAGATTTTGACAATTTTCAGAGTTATTGGAGCTTAGTGAGAAATAATCACCGATCAATATTAAAATGAAGAATTATTAATTTCATGTAAAAGAGAAAGTTAAAGAAAAATCAACCCTAAATGTAATACAGCTCATCAGTGAATTACATTCATGTAGGCATGAAAATGGTACCAAATACTGTCCTCTCCAAAATGATGATTGCATTAGGGTGGAGGAACAGGAAGTGTACTTGTGTGAGATTGAGGATTGGAAATTGAAAGAGCTAAACTCTCATCTCTCATCATAAAAAAATCTTAATTTGGAAAACCATGAGGGAGCTGTACCATGAGTTATTTGAATCACCTTGGGATCAAGCTAATAAGCAAATTCTGATCTGAGAGTGTTTGTTCTAGTGAGGTCCATATGATGGTTTCCAGATCACACTTTGAGGACTGTATTTGGATTCAGAGAATATAAATAAATACCAAAACACTTGAAGGAGCTGAAAGTATTTGCCTCTGATGGCCCAGAAATTATGTAGTGTGTCAGTAGGTGTTATTTTTCATAAGAAGCTTTAGAGAATTGTTTGAATCTTTAAATGATGTTTGTGTAGAAAATAGAAACTAGATGCTTTCCTGGTCTAATAGTAAGAACAACATAAATTCCCCTTCCTTCCCTCCCTCTCAGCCCCTCACCTGATCTGTGCACCAGAACCACACAGCCGTAATGGTCATTCCAAATACTGTCCCTGGCCATGGAATATCCCCAGTGACAGCATCTCGGAATATGTGGAAGGAGTCTGCCTGCGGAGTGTAGCACCTGGGGTTGATGGTCAGATTGTCCCCCTCAATTACAGATGGGATGGCATTCATGTACTTCTCTGTAAAGCTCTCATAGCCTCCAACTTCAACAAAGGCTGAAAAGGCATCAGGTAAAATGAAACATCTTACAGAAATCTAAACATCTGATGTTTATGATTACTTCCTTTTGATGAAGGCGCACACCACCTCCCAGGAGCCTGTTCTAATCCTCAGTACTGCCTGCCCAATCCATGTCTTTCTAGTTCCTTCACTGGCTCCAGCATGCTACCAGATTAAGTTTCACAAAGTACATAAGGGCAACATCTGTAACTTTTCTTTTTATGGCGCTCTTTAAAATTTTGATTCAGTGTTTAGTCTTATGATAAAAATAAAACTGGTAGCCAATAGACTGATATTGATGTCTCACAGACATGCTGAGCAGGAAAAACCTCTGATGCTGAGCTAACAGAGTGGGTCTATTGGAATTTGCTGTCAGAAATCCTAATCCTCTGAGGAAAAATGGCCTCTCCTCCTGACTCAGAGCCTGGGTGTTCTGACCTTGCTTGGAATCTGATTTCCTGGAGCTGTATTGTATCTTAACAATATTACAGCAAAAAATTGGAAAATTAAGGATAAGAAATTGGAGGTAGCATGTTAGATCTAATGAGGGAAAATAATGGCACTGTATCCACTGGGGGTCTGGAATGGTTAGTTATGTGTAGAAAAAATTATAGTTGATCTTAGAAAAACAAGCCTAGGTATCTGAGACCACTTAGTATAGGTTCAAATGATGAAAACCTCATCAGAATATTATAAAATTACAGAGTTTAATTGACATTCCTTTTTTTTTATTAATCGAGTGCCTACTATATGCCAAGCATTATGCCAGGACAGTGTGCAAAATGAACGTGCAAAGCAGGAATTCAGGCCAGTGGAGGATATAGACAATACAAGGAAATTGTTTTTATTAGGTAAATATAGTTTAATAACAGAAATACATGGAAAGCTAGGCATGTTGGTGCATTCCTGTAATCCCAGTACTCACGAGACTGAGGCAGGAGGACTGCTGCAGGTTAGAGGCCAGCCTGGACTACATAGTGTGTTTGATCAGCCTGAACTAAATAGGGAGACCCTGTCTCAGAAACAAAACAAAACAAAACAAAAACATGGAAGACCTTAGGAGACAAGAGGGTCTTCCTTCTCATTCTAAAGATAAGAGAAGTGAGACTTACAGAAACCACTGAAAAAGTGCGTCCCTGAGGTCAGAAACCAAAAACCAATGAACAAAAATAGCAGATTGTTCTGGATAACTAAATATAATGTACACAAGGAGTTGATTTTAGCAATGGCCTCCAGAGTTAGCAACATGAAATAGAAAATTTTTGCAATGATGAGACTGTTTGAATTTGAGCTGTCAAATATAGAAGTCTCTACCCTTCTACTGGATACTTGAGAATGCGTAGGCAAATGAATTTAATTCAATATCCACTTGTAGCTAACTGCATCCCCACTGTGCTGAGATACCAAACTATCATGGTATATTTGCAGTTTCTTTAGTTTTTTTACCTCATGTATCTTCAAGCTTTGTGATCAGATGAATGCATGTTTAGGATTGTTTTATTTAGTGCAGTTCAAATGGATGGAGCATGGTAGTTACAGGACAGGGGAGAGACATTTATTTTTACCTTGTATCCTTTTCACTGTGTGCATGGATTATCTATGCAAAGGTAAAAAAACAGCATACTAAAGGAAAATGAAAATTTGCAAGCTGTTAACTAGATTCATCAAATGTTGGCTTGCTGACATGACTTAAGAGAATGAACTTGATAATACAAATAAGTAAGAGTCACTAAGAAAAACTGAACCTATGTTTATGTATTCTAATAGTGGATTAAATAATATATTTTAATAGGTTTCTGTCCCATTAAATTAATATTTAGTTATCTAAAGTTTTCCTATTATTTAATCCTTCATTTCATGAAGGTTCTGTATGAATGAAAGGATTTTGTGTTTTGGATCCAATACACTAATATTTCTGTAAAATTATTAACTGAATGGTATTCATTTTGCCCATTCTGAACACAAGAAAATTAAGGTAAACAAGATAATCTACCTAAGAAGTAATTTCTCATCTTTATAAAAAAGCTAATAAACTTCATGTTCTTAAAGAAAAGTTTTAGATCACAGAATAACTGAATGGAAAATACAGAAATTTCCATGTATGCCATCTCCAAACACACACAGTAGCTGTCTGTCATCATCCCACAACAGAGCGGACATTTGTTATAATCAGTGAAGTAATTTTGATACTTTGTTATCAAGTAAGTTTACATTAGCTTCACTCCTTGTGTTATGCCACTATTTAATGATTTTTTAAAGGAAATAAAATTATTTCCTATTTCCTCAAGCAAGAAAGTAACCAGGCAGACATTTTGATGGTAGGAATTATATAACTGATAGGAAAATGTGACCCAACAGAATGGAAAGGCAGCAGAGAGCAGCCAAATAGAAGCAAGTCCCCAGGGATCTGTGTGCGATATCATCACTTACCAAACACCATGAGAATACAAGAGCCAAGCAACATGATGCCAGCTTGGAGAGTGTCTGTGTAAATCACTGCGGTCAAGCCCCCTGCAGAGAGAAAGAAAAGAATCAGGGCATTTTATCCACGTGTACACATTTATTTGTCTTCAGCTCTGGGTTCTCCTACACTCAAACCATCTAAAAGACTCAAAAGAAGGCTGGGGATTTAGCTCAGTGGCACCGTGCCTGCCTTGCAAAGGCAAGGTCTGGGAGTTTGATCTGAGGTACAAAAAAAAAAAAAAAGACTCAAAAGAAAGTGTATATATCTACTGGTTGAACCACAAACTTGTTTTGTCATATTTATCTCCTTTGTACCTGTGCCTTGCACTGGCACTCCTATTTCCCTCACCTTGTCCTGAGTCTCTTGCAATGAAATTTTATCTGTGTGCGAATGTTAGAATATTAAGTAGAAGAAAGGGTGAAATTTTAATATCATAAAAATTTTCTCAGTCCCCCTTGTTTAGTATAGTTACATGTGCTAAATAATTAATTATGTAGCAAACCCATTTTTGTTTGGAAAATAGCATCTTCATCATTAATTGAATATAAAAAATACTCATTGACTTGTATTTGCTGCAGTGCCATATGTAGAAATATGTATACATAAAATATATGTACATATGAAATATGTGTATATATGAAATATGTGTATATATGAAATATGTATGCATATGAAATATGTATATATGTATGAAAAATATATAAGGATGGGATCAGCAGAGTTCAGCACAACTGAATAAAACATGCAGTGGACTCACCAGTGATGGTATAAACAGCAGTGATAGCCAAGAGGATGAATATCGCCAGGTAGAGGTCCAGTCCCAAAGCTAACTTTATAAATATGGCCCCAGAAAATATGTCTGCCTGAAAAGGGAACAGTTAGGGTGGGAAAGAAACATGTACTTCAGGCCTCTGTTTTCTCTGTTCCAGTATCCACACTCTGCACACCCTTTATTTTCCTAATAGATTCCTACTTATTCTGGAAGACTCTATGTAAATGTTCCCCAAACAAGATCTTCCATAAAGGCTTAAACAGTGATTTTCTCTTTCCTTTCCGTATTCTTTTTTTTTGGTACTGGGGATCGAACTCAGGACTTTGCGCTTTCAAGGAAGGTGATGGAACCACTGAGTTAAATCCCTGGCCCTCCTTTCTGTATTCTTAACAGTTTATTGCTCAATTGCAGCACTTATTAACTGGGGTGATATATCCTGAAAACCTTTTCTATACAATGAGGCTTAGAGAGTCTGAACAATTTTTCATGGGAACAGTTTTGATTGTGGTGGAATGAAAATATATTCATAAAATTAATATTCTTGTTTGCCAATTAGCATTTTTATGATTATATGTGCTTATTTTTATTTTGATATGATTATATACAAGACTGGGTCTCCTGCAATGGGTGAATGGGATAATTTTTTCCCTCTATTCTGGAAAAGCTTAAGCTACCAAGAATTATTTCTACCTTGAAATCTTCAGTGAGCTCACCTTCACCCTTCTCTACTTTCCCAAACTCTCTGTAAGATAGGTGTTGCTTTATAATCTTTTTGAGTCTCATGAAACTGAGGCTCAGGCAATTTGTCCAAGATAACTGAGATACCAAGTGGTAAGCTCAAGATTTGGAATTGTGCAGCGTGACTCCAAAGCTCACACTGTTAAAACATTTTGTTTTACTTCTGTCATGGGATTTTATTTGATAAAATATACCAGGAGCATTTAGAAGTATGGAGAACCGCATAATTTTGGGAAGAGGGTGGTGGTGGTGGTAGCATAGTTTGTGAACCTCCATAAATCTGTACATTAGACAAAAATAAATAACCAACATATCCATGAAATCCATAGGCAAGACATGGGATGTACATTTTATCAAGACCTGAGAAGAAATAGAAAAAATGTATCTGAAAGACCTCAGAATTAGACATAATCAAATATTAAATAAATAGACACTGAGAGGAAGACTGGGCCACTTTTAGATCTTCAGCTGAAACTGGAAGAAGTTTTGCTCTAATGAATAGTGGGTGAGCGTAAAGGGTTCTCTGTAAATTCTTTTTTGTTTTGAAGACAAGAATTTGCTATGGTTCTCAGGCTGACTTTGAATTCATGGGCTCAAGTGATCCTCCTGCCTTAGCCTCTCAAGTAGTCGATGGGACTATGGGCATGTAAAGCTGCACAGGGTTCTTGGTAAGTTCTGAAAGGAGCCAGAATAATGGAGGTCAAATGAACTCTCAAAAATAACTTGCAAAATTCTCTTTCAGAACATGACTCTACACTGAGGAGAAATGTCTAGAAATAGAATCAAAGTTTAGCAAAATTAAAAGCATAATACTTGAATGTACATACATTAGTCTCATGGTGAGGAGGAAAAGAATAATTCACAAATAAGTCCTGATGTTTTGGTTTATTTTTTGTAGCAGTGTGGGTGAGACAATTTTGAAACTATTTTAGATGTATTATAGACTAAACAAAATACACATGTTGATGGCACGGGAATCCACAGTTCTCAACTGTGGAATAAAGAACATATGAATATAGAATTTGGGAAGGCATAAAGTATCCTATAAAGATTAATTGTACTTGGAGGTACAGTGTGATCTCCATTTCTAAAATTTATGTATGTGTATAATTGCAACAGAATACATATATATGCATATATATATATTTCATATTCTTTCCAATTCTATCTGCTGAAAGAGCCAAGAAACAAAGACAACCCAATGAGCACACTTAGGATCCAGATTCTGAACTCTAACAGCCTTCCCCACTTAAAATAGCCAGAACTCCCCTGCCCCCCAAAATGGGTGATTCTAGACATGGGGCATGGTTGGTACAAGATGAGTCTGAAACATTTTGTTTTTCTAGAATTTAAGGAAGTGGTCAACAAAATGATGGAGACATATCACATTATTTATACAGGGGCCAGTCAGAGAACCTTCCATTGAACCCGTCTGATATAACATGAGCATCAAAATAATTGCATAAAATAATGTTATGTAAAACAATGATAAATAGGAATTTATGAGTCCATGTTAATCATTGATAGAGGAGAAGGGAGGATTTTGCCTTCAGTAGCATGCTGAATGATGTCTGGTAACATGGAGTGACTTCAAGAGTTGAAAATTAATTTGGCAGCCATGACAGTAAAGATTAGATTAAGTAAGAATAATCTAGAAATGCTAAATGTAGTGGGAGACTTTGAAGAGGAACAGGATATTGGAGTAAAGTATCTCACCACAGATAGATTATTAGTTACTAGGAAAAATAATTACATAGTGGAGAATTTTCAGAAATACAACTACTATGCAAATTGAAAAGATTGTACTTTAAAAATGTTCACTATTGCCAAAAAAGAATATCACCTATGAAAGTATCACTCATACTCATGCATCTAACTGCATTTATTGTCTCATTCATACTGATTTACATAGAAATGATTATTTAGTCAAAGGATTTTAATTTCTTTTGTTGTCCTACTCAATCATTTACATGTTAAAACACACATCTTCTTATTACAAATTACTTGGCTTTGTGTCTTTTATATAGTAAAATTAAGGGATCATTGATGGTTTTAAAATTATACATAAGTAGCTTATATATTATCAATAACCTTTTTATGGTGGTAAAATACATATGGCACAGAATTTGCCACTGTAACCATTTTAAGTTTATGATTCACCGGCATTAATTAGATTTCTGAAGATGATGCAGTATTTATAATAAAGAGGAATTGCTATGATCTAGGACTTTCTGCAATAGGGACTGTATTGGAACAGTCCTCAATATCTTGATAAGTGCTGTGGACAGGATAGTGTTTTCATCAACATTAATTTCCAGACTTTTAAAGTGCAAAAAACAACAAAAAAAACAACCCCCACAATACCAAAAAAACCAAAACAACAAAAAAAACCACACAAAAAAACAAACAAAAACAAAACAAAACAAAATTTCCAGATTTTAATACTTGCAATATGGTTTTCTAAAAGAATATTAATGTTTTGAGGAAATACAAACCAAATATTTAGGGATTAATGGGTATCATGCCTACAACTTCAATATATGTTATTGAAGGTTGAGAATCTATGTGCAAGATGATCTCTTTCCAATCAGGGTGGAGAAGAATTCTGAAAACTCTTCCATTTTAACTTCTTAGAATTATCTGTTTAATAAATAACTATTGAAGAATCAGAATACACAAACATTCATGTCTAGGATTAATCATTATTAATAGCAATTAAGACATAGCCTTGCATATAAGAATGGACTTTTGCTGTGGCATCTTTCCAGCTGACCAGAGAGCCTGCATGAGAGCTCACATATGGTCTTGGCTTTCTTGCACTATTTTTTCCCTTCTCTCTCAACCAGGAATCCCAACTCTAGAAGGCTTAATTCTGCATGAGGCCTCTTTAACTGCTGCCATTCTGCTTGAGTATGTGTGAATTCTTTTTTATTTTTTTAGTACATGTTTGTGATACATAATGATCACATCCATTGTGGGGAGTTGGTATATGTACATGATACATCTTGATTCTTTTTACTTCCTCTTCCCCTGTCCCCCATCTCTTGGCCCCATTCCCATTTGCAAAAATCCTTCTTCTTTTTACCTATTATTTATCTTTTATTTTACTCTTTCATTTATTTACACTTTAGTTTTCTCATATAAGAAAAACCATACAATATTTAAGCTTGTGTGTCTATTAAATTTGAGTCATTTGTAGGAAAATGGTGCATGTTCTTTAGAACCACAAAAGTGTAGAAGTCAGAGCCAGAGAAGAAGTGGGAGTTTAGCAAGTCCAATCCATTTGTGAAACATGTCAGCACAAAGCCCCCCGACACCAGGAGCTCCTTTGCTTCTTCTAACTTTCCTATCTTGAGGACTGTTTAAGTTATCCCTCTGTGATCACTTCCAATTTCACTTGGCAGGTACCAGACCCTTTTCTCCATCTATATGTACATGTACATGTACTCTATTTGTCCATAAAACACTTCAGCTTGTAAATATATTTGTATATATTATCATAAGTGGCTAACTATTTCATGTATAGGATTTTTATCTCGTTTACATGGTGGACTCCATGTGCTCAGTAATCTTTGTTAGCCTAGCACAAACCATAAGATGCAGTCAGTGCTCATTTGCTTTAGGAAGGTTCACGGACATATCTAAAAACCTGGTTTATTTGCAATAATTTTTCAGTTACACTGTGGAGCAATAGTGAGAGTCAGCTTTTTCTCTCATGAACTTTGAGATATCTGTCTGGACTCTAAACTTGAGGAGATTATTTTATTAGTCACTGATGCATGAGGATAAATGAATTGCTCTTTGTCTTCATGTGCTGCTGAAACTTCAAATTCTTATCTTGTTTCATCACTGAATATCTCCAAGGAATAATTATCTTAACACTTATTTGGGTCACTTGTTTTATAAGGGCAGTTTGATATAGGGTGACCTTGAGAACAGTTAGCATAATAATTGAAACTACTTTCCTTTTGATTCACAGGTATGATAATGAAAAGTGAATGAAAATATAAACCTGGACTGGCTCTATGAAAGAAGACAAAAGTAATCGTAGAGTAGAAAAGGCTGAGGACAAGAGAAATGTTTCTTTACTACTAAGTAGCTATTTCTTGAATGATGGACATTTTGTTCTTTCAGTGCATCTGCTTTTACATGTCCTTAATGCTCTTAGAAGGAGAATTTTAAGTATGGAGGCTCTCATGACTTGGAAGTCTACTACTCTATGAATGGAACATCAATGAAACTCCATTTCTCCCATGGAGTCATTCTGGAGAGACTTTATGGAGTTTAAGACAACCATGTAGTTTGACCTGTTAATTCTGTCAACAGTCAACACATGCCACTCTGATCTTAGCATGCTTATCCCATCATGCAAACTGTTGAAGTTACTCTTCTAGGAGGCACTTAACTCACAGAAGTTCTCAAAACTACACACATGAAGAGGGAGAGGACGGAGAGGTAGACCTGTAGTCGATTCCCACCAAACCTCTTCTTGAGGTATTCTGGCATGGTTACCACCTGCAGAGAAAAATGCCAAGATATGCTTTACCTGAGGGAGTGAGTTAGATCTCCTAGGACTATGTTCTTGCCCTTGCAAGACTGGATTAGTTATGAGGAGAGTGATCTCTCCCTACCTTCCATTTTCACTGCTGGGGCCAAAACGCAAGGTCTTACATGTGCTGGGCAAGTACTGCATGACTGAGCTACATCTTCAGCTTGACAGTGGGCTGTTATAAAGCAAATTTGGTTTCCTCTCTTGCCATGTGACTTCTCTCTTCTGCACATGCCCATGTCACGTGATCCCAGCTGCCACCAGGCCCTCACCAAGCTGGGCAAATGCTGATACTGTACTCTTGAATCTCCAGAACAGTGAGATAAATAGATTTCTTTTCTTAATAAAGTACCCAGAATCAGTTATAGCAACACAAAATGAATTAAGAGCCACTGAGAATTTTCCAGATTCCAGAAAAATATAAGACTTCAGCTTGAGGGGAACATGAGTAAATCCCCAACACTTCACTGTCTGGCTCCTTGGTTTCTGTTTTTTTAAAATTAATTTTATTGATACATTTTAGGTATACAATATATGACATTCATCATTGGAAATTTGCACCTATGCATAATCTCTTATGGTTCTTATTTTTTTACCCATTCCCCTGTCCTTCCTTCAACCCCTCGATTCCTCCCTACTTACAAAGATTTTGTTTCCATTTTTTCATTTTCTCATATTAATTCCATTTC